TATTTGTGGGGGGGGGGGGCACATTAGCAGTACATTTAGCAGTAAAATGTAAACCCTGCAGAACATTCAGTTAAACTTCTTGAATTACGGAATTTATGTTTAAATTATTAAAGCATTGTATGAAGAGTTCATTTGCAAAAACTGATAAACGCCACTTTAAAAAAAAAAAAAGAGCTGATTGCCCTGCATTATTCTCCACATATAGCACGATCTGAACCCTAAACACGTTTTGTCAAAAAAGCCGGTTTTGTCCACTTTCAAGGTTTTTTTTTTAACAGAAGCCGATAAGATAAGTCAATTTTAGCGAAACAGCGCGATGTATTCAGGTCAGGTGACAAGGCTACTTTCACTTTGAAAAGACGTGCTAGCTGAGAGGAGTTTCGTCAAAGCTGACAAAGTGATTGAGGATGGATAATTTCGACGAAATTGATGAACCTGCGATATCTTCAGGGCGAAAAAGGAAAATAAAAGCTGAAACGTTTTCACGGAACCTTGCAAAAGCAGCGCGTTACAATGGTGAGGGAAAAGCTCCGTGTATTGCGTGTAATCACATCCATTTATGATCACAACAACAACGTTTGTCAGGCATCTACATTGTCATCTGAGGAGATTACAAAGATTAAACGAATGTTTTTTTTTAACTATAAAACATGAAATATGGAGTTGTCTGCTTTTGCCAAAAAAACGACTGTTGGAGTTATCTGCTTTTGCTATAAAACAAACTTTTAATATGTAAAAAAAACATACTTTCAATGAACTTTAATTTTGTAAATTACCTGTATTTGTTTAAGTTATTACTTAATCAAAACAACCCAACTGCAGTTTGATTTTACTTGGAATGTGCAATTTAAAAAAAACGTGATTTCAGAAAAAAAAAAAGAAAAAAAAAATTGAGTTATCGGTTTTTGCAAATGAACTCTTCATATATAGAGAGAGATATGAGTAACTGAGTGGCATGAGTAAATGACAGCTTTAGTGAACATTAATGTGTTTTATTCATTCTTTTTTCCTCAGCATGGCCTTTATGAGAAGAAAAAGACATCTAGGAAGCAGCGCAAGGAACGCAAGAACAGAATGAAGAAAGTTAGAGGCATCAAGAAAGCCTCTGTTGGTGCTTCTGGCAAGAAGGTAATGTTCATTTTTTGTTTTGAGTTGTTTAGGATTCGGAGCACTTATTTCTGTTGCCCATCATAGATGTTAGTTTCGTCATCACTGTCTTGGGTTTTCATGTGTAACTTGTCATCTTTCCTCCTTTATCAAATGTACATCTGGATTATAGAAGGTAAACACTTTCACAAGTAGACTAACTGCTGTGGAAGGAGAGTTTGGAGTGATCTGTAAAGTTAACTCCCCAAACATTTAGCTGCTATGTTGATGGCTAATGCTATTGACCAGTATGTGATTGGAAGTAATTCTTACAGGCAACTCTGTTTTATCCCACTCGAGTAGTGCAACTAGTGTGCTCACTAATAGTGAAGTGCTGGACTGTGTAGTAGTTAAGTAGAATAAGCTATATTGCAATTGCTCACTGAAAATGGTTTACAAATTCATGTGACAGTCAGAGACTGTTTTTATGGGGCTTAGTTTACATACCCACCATGAAAGTCTATTTCAGAGAGCAATTCTAGAACTTGATAGTGTTAGTTGAAAGATCTCATCTTTGTCCAATCTCTTGCCCTCTTTTGCCTCCCTGGGATGTTTACAGAAGTGAAAGGCTTGAGGTTTCAGGAGAAGGTAGAGTGGAAATCGGCATGGTGTGCTGATGTGATCCACTTTTACCACTTACTTGAAGTGCTTTGCATGTTCAATCCCAATGCCTTACCTCACTTGCAGATATTTTAAGGATCCTGTGTTTCTCTAACACGGATAAAAGATTGGTTTCAAGTTATGTATTTGAATTGTTCCAGTCACCACAGGGCTCGCGTAGAAACCTTCGAAGCTCCCCTGAGCTCAATCACAAGTATGATGATGATCGGGTCAGTCGTACTGGTGCTCCTAAAAAAAAATTCATAGTCGCACGCAGTAGTTTTCAGTCGCAAATGCGACTGAAATGGTCGCACTGTCGAGCCCTGCACCATATATGACCGTTATAAATCACTACTAATTTGTAGCATGCTGTGTGTGGTTAGCATTCACTCATTTGAGATAAACTAGCCACTTGACTGCATGTCTGCAAGTTTGACAGAACCCACTGGAGTATTCAGAAACAACCTCTCCCTCAGTTATATTTTCTCTTGAAGTGAGAGTTTGTCCTTGATATACATACCTAGGGATTTTGTATGGGTAGTTTGTGTATAATAGTTTTGTAGTTTAAGCGTTTAAATGTTGTAGAAATCTCACTGTAATATGTTTTGTCTTCCCTCTTACAGTAAGACCTTCAAGGAAGACCATCGGCCTGAAAATGTTCTTGTACATTGTCAACAAATAAATTCTTTAAAAAAAGTGGATCACAATGTCTTTGAGTGCTCAATCAGAAATGCAAAGTTTGTGTTTTTGCTTGATTGATTGTTTGTTAGCATGGGACTGTAATGATTGATACAGATGTTAAATAATATAATATCTAAGCCTGTAGGGATTTCATTACACTTTACAGCAGTGCTTCTCAACTCTGGGCCTGGGGAGCCACTGCTCTGCACTTTTTGTATGTATCTTTTTTTCTGACACACTCAGTTCAGCTGATAGTCTCTGCTAATGAGCTGATGATCTGAATAGTTTTCAATAAGAAAGAACTCCCCAGAACTAGAGTGACAACCACTGCTTTACAGCAGCCAGCTACCTGCACAGTAAAACCTTACTACCTATTAGCACATCTGATTTCTGTGGCATCTCCTGATATCTTCAGCTCAGATATATTAAAATATAATGGATGTTTTAAATTGTAATATTACACATCAATTTTACTTTGAGCACAAAAGACTTTAAAAAAAAAGTAAACGACTTCAAACTTTTGTTTGTGTAGTTTGTTTGTGGTAATGACGAAAAGAAACATTTTAAACCGTTTATGTATAATGTGTCGTCGAGCCGTTTTAGGTAGGCGTGGCTGACTCTTAACTTTTATAAAGAATATCTCTTTGGATTTGAGACTTTAGTCTTTGCAAATTTACAGATCTTCTTTATGCACCAAGAGCTTGTAACACTCCAAAGAGAAAGGAAAAAATGAAATCGCATCATATGACCCCTTTAAATGAAATATTAAAATAGCAATATGCAGATAAAAACGAAAAATGAATCCTGACTTGTTTTTTTTGTGCGCGCAGTCCTAGCTGAACACGGACAAACATAGTAGCCGTTGTCTTCTGCGCGCCAGAACTATCAAATACACACGGCCAGTCTAAGTGACGTCACGATACAAATTCTAAAGATTCGCGCCTTATATCAGTTGAATTCTTTCTCGAGCTCAGTGTGTCTTAAACTGCAGGACGGAAAGGTAAGTTCAATACCGACATTTGAGTGAAGTTTCTTCGTGAAGCTTCATTCGGCGAGTATGTGCACAGGACTTCGCGGGTTGCGTACGCTAAACGCAATTCCCGCGAAGGACTTGACGTGACTGCTGCTTCCCTTGTGCCGCGATGCTCCGCTTACCGGTGTTCTGACGATTTGTGCTACCCGCTCAGATTGCGCTACCTTCCATTAAAAAGATAGGTAGCACAAATCGATAGCGAAAAATGCTAACGTTACCTATCAGATTGTGCTAGTGATGAAACACTGAGGCTTTCCTCTGACTGTTTCGGGAAAAGATTCAAAGCTTCGAGAGTGTCAAAAACAGCACTTATGGTTATTTCCATAAGTTATTATCACTTATTTCTTATGGTTAATAAGAAATGTAGCAGCCAAAAGCCTGTGAAAAAAGGTCCGTCGGACAAAGCAGCGACCACAAATTCCATCAACTCGTGTTACGAGCACAAATAAAAGCCTAACAGTGTGTGTGTGTGTGTGTTTGTTGAATTTCTCTCTGATAAAATAATTTACCCATTAAACTGTGGCATTAAATGCCAGTACGAAAATCAATAAAATGTAATAGAAGAATAATGCACACATGAATTGCATATGGCAAATATTTAATTTTTTCTGAAATAATTTTTATTCTTCATATTACTTGTATGACTGGGTATTTAATTGAATAAGTCTGAATGAAAACTTGCATAAAAGTAAGATCTGGGGGTTCGAGCATTCCGACACGTGCACGTGATTGGACAGAAAGTGAGGCTTCAGATGTGTCCGAAATCGCTCAATTGTTCACTAATCCCTATATAGTGTATGGCAGTTGAGTGCACTATATCAGAAAGGAGTTAAATAAGTGAACGGATTCGGACGGTGACGTATACACTGCGCGTGAGACTTGGAGCTGTTGCAAAAACATCGTCACTACCTTCCATTACAAAGATAGGTAGCACAAATCGATAGCGAAAAATGCTAACGTTACCTATCAGATTGTGCTAGTGATGAAACACTGAGGCTTTCCTCTGACTGTTTCGGGAAAAGATTCAAAGCTTCGAGAGTGTCAAAAACAGCACTTATGGTTATTTCCATAAGTTATTATCACTTATTTCTTATGGTTAATAAGAAATGTAGCAGCCAAAAGCCTGTGAAAAAAGGTCCGTCGGACAAAGCAGCGACCACAAATTCCATCAACTCGTGTTACGAGCACAAATAAAAGCCTAACAGTGTGTGTGTGTGTGTGTTTGTTGAATTTCTCTCTGATAAATTTACCCATTAAACTGTGGCATTAAATGCCAGTACGAAAATCAATATGATGTAAATGTAATAGAAGAATAATGCACACATGAATTGCATATGGCAAATATTTAATTTTTTCTGAAATAATTTTTATTCTTCATATTACTATCTTCGTCACATAGGCACGTACTTTTATATTACAAGAAAATAATATTAATAGCAATAACACTCAAAATTACTTTATATTATAATTATACATACCTCCGCGTCTCCGTTTTGTAATGCTTTTATGTTCATATTCATTAAATACTATTAAAATACTGAGAACAAAAATAAACACACATTAACACATGTTCATAATTTTATGTATTTATTATTTTTAGTATCTTGACACTCTCCCAAGCAGCATTTTGAGCTAAAATAAGATAATGGTCATAGAGCGCCCTCAGACGACCGTTAATTTTACATCAGAATGAGCTACCTACTGTGATTAATGAACATTTTTAAATTATCCACCAAATTATCATCATTTTTGTAAGTTAACAATGATGCCACCTCAGTAAATTAGTAAAATATTAAACTGAGTTATTGCCTACATAACATATTTTTATATACTGTAAATAATGTATGAAATTAACGTTAAAGCTGCAGTCCGTAAGTTTTGCCTCTTTGTCGCGAAAACCTACCCGTACCACTCAAATTAGAAAACATTATTATAAGATAACCGTTGTGAATCGGGCTAAAATAAGGCGATAGTTTTGAACACTGACTGGTTATGTACTTGCTCAAATATTGATTTCGGAGCATTTTTAACCAAAAAAAGTTACGGACTGCAGCTTTAAAGCAGAAATAATAAAGATGTAAACGGCATCTCTCATTCAAACTCGCTCGCTCCCGCTCTCTCTTCCAGCTCGCCGGTTCTCCGCATTGGATTGTGGGAAATAGTGCTTCAGCGAGTGTACATCGGTTGTACACTCGAAATCAGAATGCATTGTGGGTAAAAAGTAGTGGACGAATGTAGGGAATGAAGTCGTTCACTCAGAATTGGGACAGCACTACAAAATGGCTGACACCCGATATAGTGCACTATATAGTGGATAGGGAGCGGTTTCGGACACAGCTTTCGTTTTTCGTTGATCACGTGATTCTCTGAAAACTATACGCGCTCCGGCACAGAGCTTCGTGAGAAATTGCGCTGCGTACTCGATACGCATTTTGAAGCTTCAGTGTCATATGTAACATCACTAGATTGTGCTACCAGCATCTTATTCATGTGTCCATACCTACCCCTACCTAAACCTACCCGTCCATACCTACCCCTACCCTAAACTTACCCTTAAAACAATGCAAATATATTTTTGGTTGCACAATCTGATAGGTAGCATGTTTCGTCGGTACACCGGCACGGACTGGCACCCGGTTTACTCGTGCACACCCTGGGATGAGGCACTAGCGCACACTTAAACAGTGTGTAAGGCTGGCACTGACGACCCCCAGGCAAACATGTGAAACCGGCCTCTTCCACAACATACAGAACTGGGTGGGGGAGGGAGCATTTCGTTTTCACTTTTTATGATCTGAGAAACAGTCATTAACCAAAATAATAACAACCCGTATTATAACTGAAATAGACCAGGTTCTATATTAGGCTACAACAGATCACCAATAAAAGATAATTCAGCCTAGAAGAATTGAGATAAATTAACTACACAAAAATCCATTTGTATTATGCCTACACACTTCATAAACCATGGCCGGTTTTACTGGGGTGGTAGAGGCCCAAATGAAAGCAAGAGCGCCCTCAGTTATTAGCGCTCTCCTGGAGCATCACAGGTTTTTATTTATTGGAGCCGCAGCTCTGCAGAGTTTTGCTTCAACCCTAATCAAACACACATGAACAAGCTAATCCTGGTCTGAAGTGTTACTAGGAAGATACAGTCAGGTGAGTTTTAATTAGGGTTGGAGCTGACCTCTGCAGGGCTGCGGCTCTCCAGGACCGGAGTTCGCCACCCCTGGTTTAGGGGTAACATACTCCCTCATGACTGGTGTCAGTGCTATAAAGTGAAGCATCAGCTTCAGCTTTTCCCCCTGTTGTTTATCCCAGCGTTTACCCCTCACGTCACTAGCTCCGCCCTTGCGCCATAGCTCGTGACCGGAAGAGAAGATGAGTCGTTTTGAGGGGGAGGGG